TGGTTGTCCCTCACTAACCCCCCTGCCAGCCTGGTCATAGGCAGCTATCTTGTGAGGGCATGAGGGTTAATTTGCATATTACCTCTTTATTATATAGGATTCTTAAAGAGTTTTGTGGGGTGTGGACAACAAAAGGGGCCCCACACGCTAACCTGACAAGTTCAGGGAAGTCTTGCAAACTCAAAGGCCTAAAGTAACCACAAAGGATGGTCTGAAATTAAAACTTTAACTAAAGCAGTTTATAGTGGGTATCATGTCCTAGGCTAGTATCTTCCCTGACAAGGTCAATCTTTACCTTAACTGAGTCTATCATCTTTTTGCATCGAAGATAACACACCTGTGAAATGTCAGGGTAACTTGTAATTTCCCTTTTTCTAGACTCCTCAGGGCACAACCAAATGCGCCTGGGCGTCAAGAAGGAGATCATAAATGCCATCATTGTTATTGTTGTCATGTTAATTGTTTACTGTTAACGATTCTGCACCCACCTACATAAAAGAAGTATGTGTCTATTTTACATTTTATCCAATCCCAGAAGTCCCCCCTTTGCTTTCTCTGGCCTCCCTAATCCATCACCAATCGATTTCCCGTAGCCCACTTATGTCTCCTTTTTTAAATATAATGTATAAAACAAGGCGAAGAACTGCCATTCTCCAGAGCATTATCCCAATCCGTTGAGATTCTGCTTCCTGGCAATTGTCGACAGTTTGGCTCAAATAAACTCACAAAAATTTTTTTCAGGTTTGAATGTTTTTACGTTAACTGGGGGTAATGGAACATTTTAAAGTTGATAAATACTAGCACCTGTTAACAATTTACAGGACATGGAATTCGGATTCGTATGTAGTCTAGTGAGATTGTGAAGTTGTTTGCCTTTTGTGTTCTTATCTTCTCAAGGCACATGGAACAGCTTCCTTTTCCAGTTCCTACCATCTAGGTCCTCTTCATACTTTTAGGTGGCTCCATCTAATTCCCACTTTAGGATTAGGAACCTAATGTTTGGTCACTTAGAATGGTATCCAGGTTTTAAGAAGTAGGTAATTCTTCCAATACTTCCTGGCGCTTAAAAGTCTGAGGCTGCCCAAATGTGCCTTTGTTAACGAGTTCAGAAAGTGAGTAGAGTTTGGATTATCAATAAGGTTATTACTATTCTATCTAATAGAAGAGTAATATGCAAATTGACCATCACTCCAACACACAAGATGGCCACCCCCATGTGGATACAAGATGGCCAGCAGGGGAGGGCAGTTGGGGGGGACCAAGCCTGCAGGGGAGGGCAGTTGTAGGTGATCAGGCCAGCAGGAGTGGGCAGTTAGGGGTGATCAGGCTGGCAGGGGAGTAGTTAGGGGGTGATCAGGCTGGCAGGCAGAAGCAGTTAGGGGCAATCAGGCAGGCAGGCAGGCGAGCAGTTGGGAGCCAGCAGTCCTGGATTGCGAGAGGAATGTCTGACTGTTCGTTTAGGCCTGATCCTACTGGTATCAGGCCTAAACGGGCAGTCAGACATCCCTAGAGGGGTCCAAGATTGGAGAGGTTGCAGGGTGAGGGACACCCCCCCCACCACCCCAGTGCATGAATTTTGTGCACCGGGCCTCTAGTGTATAATATAAAAAGCTAATGACCAATCTGGCAGGGACACCCACAGTCATTCCAGACTTGGGCCCCAGCTCTGGAGCTGAGCCTTTGAGTCTTATTGGCTCGTTGCTGGCTCATTGGGAGGGTGGGGGTCCTTTGGGGAAGGGTGAGAGAGGAGGAGGTGGGGAGTATGTCAGAGAGTGACTATTTGCATGAAAGTACACAAACGTCAATATTTTTACAATCTGTGTGTTCAGCTGAATATTTACCCTAATTACCACCATCATCACCTCACATACCTTCCGTTAGTCACCCCTATTCACTTCCATTCCATCTTCCTTCCCATACTTCCCATACTTCTTCCGTATTTTCCACTTTATACATGAAAAGATACTGCTTTCTAGATTAAGACTTGCTTGATCACCTGATCCCTTCCTATTTTTGTCCTGGCTTGAATGCCCCACTGAAATCTTCCTTGGTTTGAGCCTTTTCATTTTGAGTATTTGAAATGATTATTTTTAAAAATTATTTTCCTAAAAAAATAAACAACAATTTCTATTTTTTAAAAATCTTTCTGATCAAGGTGGCTAAGAAAGTAGTCTCTTTTCATACTAGTTTTTTTAAAAAAGTTAGCTCTACTTTATAAATTTGTAAAGTGAAAAATATAATTTACATCTACCCAAGAAGGATGCTTTAAAGCACTAAAGATACTGCCTAGCTCATAACAGATAAGAATTAAGGGTACAAATTTCAGTTCACAGATTCAATATTAGAATATATATATTTTACCTTATAGTATTCTTATTGTAATATAGTTCACCATCTAAGAGAGAAAATAGTGTAAAGAACACCTGCCATCAAGCCTGATCAAGTAATAAATTTGCTTTATTTGTTTCAGATTTTTTTTTAAGGTAGAAAACATCATAGATACTATTGACGTTCCTTGTGGGATGCAACTTTCTCTTTTTCTGTAACTGAATTTAATTTCTTTTGCAACCTTGCATTCCTTCAGGTGGCAGAACCTTCCTCTCAGGCAGTTCCTGGTTTCTTCCATTTTGTTGAGGTTGCATCTCTACATTCCAGAGACTCCGAATTGCCAAGGAATCTCAGGGTGGGTCTGTGCAGGAGAGGCTCTTTTTTGATTGTATATCTTGGATCTGCTGATAGGTACATAATTCTGTCCTTGGTCATTGGTTCATTCACGACACTGCTACAGTGTTCTT